AGGCAAACAGGGGTAAGTGACTTGCCCAGGGTCACATAGCTAATAAGTGTCTGGAACTAGATTTGAACTCAGGTGTTCCTGACTTCAGGCTCAGCACTCTATCCATTGCACCACCTAGCTGGCCCAGGAAAGATAATATATGCACACAGATAGTTAAGATAACAATTAGAAATATACTCTAAGCGCATAGATGGGGCACAAAGGAGAGTAGTGGAAGGAAATAAACTCAATTAGTTGTCAAATATTAACTTGCTATAGATCTATGTCAATATATTGATGTCTAGATATAGATAGGTATAGATATAAAGATATGTATATACACAGGATAGATGGAAAGTAATCTCAGAGGGGAAGGCATTAGCAGCTGGAATATGTATGTATACACACACATATGTATACATATATGTAAATGTGGAGAGAGACACAGAGAGAGACAGAGACAGAGAGAGAGAGAGAGAGAGTTTCTAGAAGGCAGGGACTATTTCTATCTTTCTTTGTATCCCTAGTGTTTAGTACAGTGCCTGGAGCATAGTAAGTACTTCAAAGATGCTCACTGATTTGATTTGAAAAAATTACTCTCAGCTGTAGGATCACAGAATATGACATCGAAAAGATGGTGTCTTATCTGGGTCTTAAAGGAAGAGAAGAAGCTCCATGGGGAGGGAAAAATGTTTTAAGTTAGTGGGCTGGCAGTGAGGGGTGGCAAGGTGGAAAGGCATCCAGAACACTCTAGCTGTGAGAGATGATATGAGCTAACACACAAAGGCAGAAGACGGCTCCAAGGAGGAGTTCAGGAAACAGTCTAATTTAGCTAAGACAGAAGCCATCAAAAAGAATAATGTGAGATGACACTGGAAAGGTAGATTGGAGATAAATTGTGGTGCACCTTGATTGCTAGGCTAAAGACTTTGGATTTTATTTAATAGGCAATGGGGAGGCTCCTACGGGTTTTGAAAAGCAAGCAGTGTGACATCAGAACTGTACATTAGCTAGATCCATCTTTCAGTCTGTAGAGCAACTGGAGGGAAGGACATCAGTTAAGAGGGTGTTTTTAGGGTTATTTCAATTTTAAAATATGTTCATCAGTTCATTTAAAAAGCATTATTACACCTCCTCTACGTATAAGGCACTAGGGATGCAAAGAGAGTGAAAAACAGCTCCTTCCCTCCAAGTCTTTATGTTCTACTTTAAACAAATAAATACAACATAGTTTGAAGAAGGAGATAGAGAGAATGAACAAATAGGAGGTTCAGAAAACGTTTCTCATAGCCCCTGAGTTGAGTCTTGAAGGAAGCTAAGGATTCTGAGAAGTGGAGGTGAAAAAAAAATGCACGTTCTGGGCATGCAAAATGGCCCTTGCAAAGAGTGTGAATGAAACCTGGAGATGAAATCCACCTTGTGTTTTATATGGTCTGAGTTTCATTGTGTGGGTAGTTTGACTTTGTTTGAAAGAAAAGTAGCAGTTATCTGTCAATGAATCAATCAGTAAGTGCCTGCTCTGTACTCAGCGCATGGGGATGATAGAGAGAAATAGAAAGCATGGTTTCCTCCGCCATGGGGCTTACTACCCAGTTGATGCTTTTGCACCTTGCTGGAGAAAGTCACAAAATGTCTATTGTAAATTTATTGGGAAGCAGCATGATATAGAGAGCTGACCTTAAGGCAAGGAAGAAATGATTCAAATCTCATCTTTGCCACAAGCTGGCTGAGTGACTATGGGCAAGTGACCTAACCTCTTCATGCTCTGGGCATATATGATGCAGGAAAGGTGCCAGCCTGCATCAGCAGAGGGAGTTTCTTTGCCTAAGAATACTGTACAACAATTCTCTACACAAGTCCAGTCCCTATAAATGTATTATTGTAAATAATCTCAGGAAAATCTTCATAATGCTTCTTGATAATCCTATTCTCCTCTTACAGGCAGTGAGAGTAGTGGGTCCGTAATTGTTCCCAATCCTTTTTTTTCTCTTCAAAGCCCACAGTTGCATTCTTATCTCCTTATACTTAGAACAACAGATGAATTGTTTCCTACTTCATTGAGGCCACCTAATGGGAAGTCCTTAATTCCCTTCCACTGTTCCTCAACTGTCATCACCTGTTCTTTTCTCCTTCCCTATTGTCTCAGGAGGAGAAATTTTCCATTAATTCTAGTAGCTTGATGGTTGGTCCATAATCTATTTTGACTACAGTCACATCTTTGCCAGATAAGTGTAAAATTAGGGAAGCATTCTCTTCAAAAAGATTTCTGGCCCCAAAAGAAGGGAGGTGTCTCTATCCCTTAATAAGACTAATCCCTCTATCAGGACTTCTGATCAAATTCTCACCTGCCTTCCATCTCGATTAAGCTTCCTTCTGCCTTCATTAAGCTTCATCTTTTCCTTCCATCTCGATTAAGTTATTTATTCTCTCTCTAGCATCTTTAATTTCTTCTTCTTTGTTGACTCCTTCCCACCTTCTCAGGCCTCTCTAATCCTAAAAAAAAACCTTTGTTTTTGATCCTCTTCTCCATTTAACAACTGTACCATCTCTTCCCCCCCCACCCCATTCAACTACCAGACTTTTGAAAGAAATTGTCTACTACAGGTGCTTCCCCTTCTTCATTATCTACTTCTTCCTTGAAGTACTTGTAGTATGGCTTTTATCCCTCCCATTCTATTGAAATTATTCTTCAAAGGGATCTCATAATCTCCAAATGGAAAGAGAGAGTGATGGATTTGGAGTCTCAGGACCTAGATTTAAATACAGGATCTGCCATGTGTGGTCCTTGGCAAATAATAAACTCTCTGGAGTTCTTATATCTGTAAAATAAGAGATCTGGACTATAAGATCTCCAAGGGCCTCTAGATCAGGTTCTAGATCAGAGGATCTGACTTAAATCCAATGCCTTTTTTCATTCCCCCCTTCCTTAGTAGCATTTGACCATGTTGATCATCCCTTCTTCTGGAGACTCTCTCTCCTCCCTTGGTTTCAGAGAGAACCTCTGTAACCGCTCCCCCTCTGTCTTCTCTGCTGTCTCTGCTTAAATTGAATATTCCCTAAATTTGTCTCCTTGGCCCTTTATTGTCATTAAACTCTCTTCCTTGGCAATCTTATTCAATTGCACAGCTTCAACTAGCAGTTTTACACTGTTGACTCCCAGATTTTTATTTCTGGCCCTGACTTTATTCCCAAGTTCCAGACTCATACCTCCAAATATATAGTATAACTCTGCTTTTATGTTTTGCTAGTCTCTTAAATTCAGTATATCCAACACCAAACTTACAACTTGTCCCCAAGACTTGTGCCACCTTCTGACTTGAGTATTTCTCTTGGGGCACCATTATTTATCCAGTTTCGCATAATCAAAACCTTTGTGGCATTTTTCATTCTGCCCTGTCATAATTTCCCTTCCTTTATTTCATTCTTAACCTTCTAAGTCTGTTCTTTATCTTCAATTCCCCCATCCCTCTCATTTTCCATTCTTTGGCTCCACTTTTATCCCATCTAAATCTAAATCTGAATTGTACTTAACCAACACAACTTTACATTGTTACCTCTTGTTACATCCTTCCTCCCTCATCCTTAAGCATTTCTACTCAGTCAATTTTCAGCTCTGGGGGTGATTGCCCCCAACATCGATCTTCTCTGTTTCCACTCACATACTGCTGAATGCCAATAGAAAAAGTCATGTAACTGTAGATTGGGACCTTGCTACCATATTGCAAATATTTTTATTGTTCTTTAATTTGCTTTCTACTCCTCTTGATACAGTTTCAAATCTTCTAAAATGGAGAATGTTCAGAAGAGGGTGACCAAAATGGCAAAAGGCCTTTACATCATGCCCAGTTGAAGGAACTGAGGGTGTTTAGGGGATTTAGCCTAGGTAAAAGAAGATTTGGGGATGGAAGGGCATGCTATGTCTTTAGTATTTGAAGGGTTACCACATGGGAAAGGGATTAGATTTCCTCTTGTTTGGTCCTAGAGAGCAGAACTGGGATTGGTGGGTAAAAATTACAGAGGGCCAAATTTAGGTTTGATGTAAAGAAAAACTTCCCAGCATTTAGAGCTGCCCCAGAATAGAATGGACTGCGTCAGGAGATGGTGGGTTCTTCTTCATAAGAGGTTTTCAAGCAGAAGCTGGATGGCCATTTGTCAGTATAGTGCAGAGGAACTTTCTCTCCAGCCATGTGTTGAACTAAATGGACTCTGATATATCTTCCAACTCAGATTTCTGAAACAAACAAGAAGCATTTATTAAGTGCCTACTGTGTGCCAGGCTGTATGCTAGATACTTGGGACATAAAGATTAAAAATTAAACAGTCTCGGGACATGGTACAGTGGATAGAGCGCTAGCCCTGGAATCAGGAGGACCTAAGTTCAAATCTAGCCTCAGACACTTACTATCTGTGTGACCCCACACAAATCACTTAACCCCTAATTGCCTCCCCCCCCCACAAAAAAAGATTAAACAGTCTCTGCTCTCAAGGAATTTACGTTCTATTAGAAGAGACAACACATACAAATATAAGTATGTTTAAAGCATTTACAAAGCAAAATGTTTAGGGAAGGGTCAAACCCATGATTTCCTAGGTATAGGGTATTCCTGGTGAGGAAAATCCGTCCAAGACTTATCTGCACTCAGTTGCATGGGGCACTGAGATGTTAAATAACTGACCCTACTACACCTGCCAGTAATTGCCTGAGGCAGAATTTGAACATAGGTCTTCCTGGCTTTGAGGATGGTTCTGTATCCACCATGATGGAAATAATATGAATGATAATAATAATAATAATAATAGCATTTGTATAGCACTTTAAGATTTGAAGAAAATGGTTTATAAATATTATCTCATTTTATCTCACAACAATCCTTCCACTTCTCTCACTGATTGTGGGATCCACATTCATGAAAACAGAAGTAGAATTCTCTTGCAGTTTTGGCAGATAAAATATCTGGTGAGCTTCTGTTACCTTACACTGAAAGGGCTTTTTAATTTTTTTTAACCTTCTTCCATTCTAGGTGATTTATGCCTTGAACACTCGAAATGATGAATATGAAGCCAGTGTGGAGGCTCTCAGAGAAGCTCACCAAGACGAACTTCAGAACATTGTTGCCGAGACCAAAGCCAAGCTCCTACAGGATCAGAGCAGTACGCTAGAACAAGACCTTCAAAAGCGCGTTCAGTCCCTGGAAGATGCCCTGGCAGAGCAGAAGAGGCTGACGGAAGAAGCTCTGGCGGAGTCCGCCATGTATAAGAAGCAGACAAAAGAAAGAGAGTTGAAAGCAGAGACAGAACATGCTGAGAGGATCATTTCCCTCTCCAAGGAGATGCTGGACCTCAAAGCTGACTTTGAGAAGAAACTCCAACACCGAAACCAAGAGTCCTCTGAGAGCCCCCAGAACGAAGGCAGGGGGTTTGCCAAAGAGAACCCCAACACAGAGGAAGAGCTGGCCCAAAGCCACAGTGAGGAGATGCAGAAGGCACACAGGGAATTGGAAAAGCTCAGAGCAGAGAACCAGCAGCTCAGCAAGGAGTATGCCCTGAAAGCCAAGCAGCTCCAGGCCACCTATGAGAGAGAAAATGACGCTGTCAAGAAAGCCATGCAACAGTCCGTGGCTGAGGCCCTGAGGCAGTGGCAGCAGGAGGAGGCTGAGCTGAGGAAGAGTTTCCAAGTCCAAGAAATGGCTCTACAGGCCCAAGTGAAGAGGCTGGAAATAGATTTGCAGTCTAAATGCCAGAAGATAAGTGACTTAAAGAAGTATTCCCTGAAACTAAAGGAAAAGATTCAAGTAGGTTGTAAAATACTGCTATAACTTTTGAATTGGGTTGGAACCGGCAGTGTGAAGGGAAATGTTGAACAACCAGCTCTTGGGGTGGGGAGAGTGGGGATGTACACATGGCATATTTTTAAGTTTTATCTGCATTATTAACATTTTCATCAGTTTCTTGTCTGGACAATAAACAAAACAATAAATCAAACTCTGATTTGGAACATTTGCCAACTTCTGAAGTGTAAATGCTCACACTAAAAATTTAACCGTCAGCTCTTATTAGCTGGTTTGAGCTGGCTCCAGGGCACCCCCTGATTGAAACTCATAGACATGTAGAAGGCTAGAGGTAGAAAGGACCCTGGAGACCATCCACCAGAGATGGTCATCTTTTTCATGTCATGGAACCCTTTGTCAGTCTGATGAAGCCTAGGGACCCCTTCTCAGAATAATGTTTGTAAATGCGTAAAGCATATAGGACTACATAGGAAACCTATTATGTTGAAATACAATTATCAAAATATTTTAGAAAATAATTTCGTGGGCTCCAGCTTGTTAAGAACCCCAGATCTAGGCTAAGTCCCTCATTTTACAGAAGAGAAAGTTGAGGACAAGAGACCTAGGTAAATGATTTGCTCAAACCTAAGGCATTAATTATATTTCATAGATAAAGAGGCATGCTACAAGCAATTCTGCATCCTGGAAATTAGAGTTACAGCCCTCTGACAGTTTTCTGAAAACAGATTGCTATAACTGTGGGCATTTATGTAGCAAAGCAAATTGCCAAGTGAAGCCAGACTATGGTGACATGTAGTATGGGCAGGTCATGGATGCTAGAGAAATGAGGACTCCAACATCTCTTTTAGGACTTGGACATCCAGCTCAGGGCAGCTCAACGAGAAAACATGGAATCCAAAAACACCGCAAAAATCCTAGGGGAGAAACTAGCTATTGCAACAGAGAAACTAATGCTGCAGGAATGCCAGATATTGCAGGAAACAGGTAAGTTGCTCCAGAAATTTGAAGCAGCTTTGTTGAGGCAATGGTAGGCTCAGCAGAAAGAATATTTGGAGCAGCTCAGTTGAAGAAGACGGACGGTCTTGGGTGGGTCAGGCTGGCCAGTGAGCTAGAACTTAGGAGTGTAATTAGGTTGACATTTGGCTTTGGAGCCCAGACCCAGGGAGGAGGAGGATAGAATCATTGATTTAGAAATGGAAGAGTCCAAAGAGGCCATCTAATCCAACCCTTTCATTTTATACTTGAGGAAACTGAGACCCAGAAAGGTAAAGTGATTTGCCCAAGGCCACACAGAGAGGAAATGGCAGAGTCAGGATCTGAACCCAAATAGTCTGGCTAAATTGCTGTGACTTTGAAAGATTTACTCATTTAAAAAAATCCACCCCCCCATTTCCACCCCTTTACTTCCCCAACTCCAAATATCTTTCAACCTATTCTCACCTCCCACCGTGCGTGAATAAGGCTAAGACTTTGTCATTGAGGAGGTATACCAAACTTTATCAGGAATTAGTTTGACCAAAAAAACATAATTCAGAGGGCTGACTACCCACTGTCACTTATTGGAAGTCCTATAAATGGAAGAACTATAAATAAAACTAAAAAGGTTCCAGAGATAGTTAAAGTTTGCATAAAGAGATCATACCCTCTTCCCTCTTCCACTAATAAATTTTCCTACTTAATCATTTTACTGACTGAGCTGTCAGGCCAGGCAGGGATGGTTTTCCTTGGTTTCTAGTCTGTGCTGGCTGACCTGATACAATGACAGATGATAACAATGGCAGATGATATTCTACCTCTTTGTCACCACCACATAAAAAGAAAGCTCTTAGAAGGATCAGGTGTTCTGCCTCAGTTCTGTAAACACCTGAGAACAACAGTAGACACCACTGAAACCTCAGTCTGTTACTTACTTTCTCTTTCCCCACTTCAAGTAAATTCTACTTGGGAGCCAGGAATCCCTGAGTAGGTCAATGCCCCAAAATGTGGCATGATGGTGATGAGCCTGGTAAAAACGAACTTTGGATGGTGGGGTGTGGAGAGAAAGGAGAATGGGAGGATGCTACCCAGTCCCAGGGTAAGGGTGTGATAGTGGAAGACTGTGTATCCAGGATGTGTTCAAGGGGTACAAATGATATTTTGTGTTTGTATGAGAGAGGATGATGATAGGTGGGGAATCAAAGATAAACTCCCATTTCAGTTTGTTCTTGTAAGCTGTCCCAGTCAGGTAGAGGAAGCACAAGAAAAAAAAAAGTGGGCTTCTCTTCTCTCTGCCATTGCAAAATGAGCTCAAGCCTGAAAGCATATCCAGGAGGAGGGTTCATGGAACTAGAAATATACCCAAGAACAGATGAGATGCTGGGGTCAAGGTAGGGGCACCATTTCCAGGAATTCATTCAAGTCAATAAGTATTTAATAAGATGCCTACTAAGTGCCAGATACTGTGGGAGAAAACAAGGTCAAATAGAGTTCCTACCCCAAAGAAGCTGATATGTTCGTGGGGAGACAAGACTTAAAAACACAGAGAAACAACAACATGAAGCAGTGCCAGATGAGTGGTAGAGATAGGAAGTGTTAGAAGGGTTCTGAGGTCACGACTGCTATGGGCCAGAGTACCTAAGGAAGGCGCCATAGTAGAGTGGAGCTTTGAACCGAACCTACAAGAATAGGTACAATTTAGATACACGGAGACAAAGTTGGGAGGGCAATCATCATGAAAAGAATTGCATGAGAAGAAGTAAAGCGGTGAGCATGAACATGACATGTTTGAGAGACAGTGAATAGAGCAGCCCAGACTGGCTGGAGCATAGGATTGTGAGGGGGGAGGATGAAGTTAGAAAGCTATATTAGAGCCCAATTGTGGAGGACTTGGATGTATGACCAAGGCTCAGGAATTTCTGTGTGAGGTTTAAATGCTGCATTTACAGATGAGATGAAAACGTTACTCAGTTCCCAGAATGAAGCAGATGTCTTCAAAACTCCCAGTTTCTGCCTGCAGCAAGAACAGCTGTCCATCACAGAATGTACATGTGCCAGAAGGAGTGAAGATGCCCAGGTAGAGTGTCCATTTCCGTCTGGGTGCAGGGAAAGTCTCAGGGGGGTTAATCCTGGATTTACAAGTGAGGTACAAGACTTGGAGTTCTTTCAACTGAATTAAAAGAGTACTAAGGTCCTGTTGCATGCAAGTCATTGTATTAGGCACTGAAGGGATTCAAAAATAAAAAAGATGGGGCAGCTAGGTGGCACAGTGGATAGAGCACTGGCCCTGAAGTCAGGAGGACCTGAGTTCAAATCCAGCCTCAGACGCATAACACTTACTAGCTGTGTGACTCTGGGCAAGTCACTTAACCCCAATTGCCTCACATAAAAACAAACAAATCAAACAAACAAAAATAAAAAAGACACCTTAAGGATATCAGTTTAGTAGGGAAAGGAACAAGACAAGATAAGACACATCATTACAACTCAATTAGAATTTATTAAATCCTTAGAAGAAAATTGAATAGAGTGCCTGGAAAGTTTAAAGAAGGGAGATAGAGATCTTACTGGGGCAACTAAAGAAGGCTTCTTGGGAAAGGTAGTACATAAGTAGGGTTTTAAAAGATGAAAAGGATTCCAATAGGTAGGAAAAGCAAGGGAAAAACAAATATTCTAGGTGTGTTTAACTCAGAAACAAGGACAGTGTCTCACACTTAATTTATCTAACTGTAGGGTTTATTAAATAATATACAAATCTCATACAAGGAAGATAAATGAAGATCTGTGTGTTCTGCTCTTCTCAAATATTGCCTGATATATCCCTGTCTTTGTCTTTCCCAAAGACAGACACATAGCTGTTCCCAAAAGGTTGGCTCTACTAAGACACTAATAGCCCAACTCCTAGCTGGTCCCTAGATGTTAGGGGCTGTGCAGTTTTACATTGAAGTAGACAAAAGGAGTTAGATATGCCAATCTAGCATGAGCAAACCCCAACTAGAGATGGAAGAGGAAAGGACAGAGTTTAGGGTTATGCCAATATTAAAGGGACAGAAGGAGGAAGAGGGGCCAGCAAAGGAGTTAGAGAAGTAGGAGGGAAACCATGACAATTACTAAGGGGGTAACTGGTGTCAAAGTAGAGGTTGTCAAAAGTGCCAAATCATGTGTAGAGATCAAGGAGGGTGAGGACTGAGTTAAGACGCCTTTGGATGGGCTCTGAGAAAGTCACTGGTGACGGGGGGGGGGGAGGGGGGAGAAAGAGAGAGAGAGACAGAGAGAGAAAGAGAGGGAGAGAGAGAGAGAGAACATTTATTAAGTGCTTATTATGTGCCAAGCACAGTGTTAAGTGCTGGCATACAAAAATACAATCAAATAAAACAATTACTCCTTCAAGGAGCAGATCCTGTGTTTATAGAGTAGACTAAGTAAAAGAACCTCTTAAATGTCTAAGATAAAAAGCTCATAAAATTCATTGCACCTTGTGATGGGTGCTGTAAAAATCAGCATTTCAACAATGAAAAGAGAACTAGTGCATTTTTTATTATGAGTACAATACCTCTCTCTCTCTCTCTCTCTCTGCATATATATATATATATAATATGTATATGTATCCCTCCCTTCCCCTCTGCCTCTCCCTCCTTTGCTGCTGTCCTTTCTCTCTATCTCTCTGTCCTTCTCCTCTCTCTGTTTGTCTGTTCTCTCTGTCGCTCTCTTCCCCCCTCTCCCCTCTGGCTCTCTTTCTTCCTTACCCCCTTTCTTTTTCATATATATATATATATATATATATATATATATATGCACACACATATATACATGTTTCATATCTGCACATGTGTATCTACCTATCTATAGGCCAAGGAGTCTGGAGCTGCTTTTGAGAGAGAATATTTGAAGCAAAAACATGAAATTGAGCTTCAAAAAATCAGGCATCAGACAGAAGAGGTGAAAACACATCTCAGGGAGCAGCTGGTGAAGGGATTAGAAGACTTGGTGAAGAAACACACCATGGAAATCAAATCAACTCAGTCATCCATGGAAGCAGAAAGAAAGAAGCTACAAAAGGTGAGACTTTCCTTCTAGTGCAAGGCACAGCCTCTTTTTTGTTTTTTATTTTTTCAAACAGAGTGATCTGTCCTGGAGGTAAGTGTTTCCCTCTGTTGGTTATTTCCAGTTTATCGTGTCTACATCATATTTGTATATGGTTGTTTGCTTTTTGTCTTCTTTATTAGACTGTGAATGCCTAGAGGTCAGGGACTGGCTTTTGCCATTCTTTGTATCCTCAGCACTCAGCAGAGTGCTTGGTAAATGGAAGGAATTTAATAAATGTTTATTGACTGACTCATTGACTTCAGCAATGTCTGAAGTACATCTTTTCCCAAAGAACTTGATCTTACATTTTTCTGGCTTCAAAAACAAGAAAAATCAGCATGTTTGACTACCTATCATCCATCTATACATAAATGTGTATATATATATTATATATACATATTAACATGTTTGATTATAAGCATGTATATGAATATATAGCCAAACAAGTTAACTGTCCATGCATTCTTTGGTTTTTTTTTAAGGCAATTGGGGTTAAGTGACTTGCCCAGGGTCACGCAGCTAGTAAGTGTCAAGTGTTTGGTCTGAGGCTGAACTTGAACTCAGGTCCTCCTGACTTCAAGGCTGGTGCTCTATCCACTGCGCCACCTAGTTGCCCCCCATGCATTCTTTTACATTGTGCCATGATGCCTCTGGTTAGTAGTGTTATTACTTTGGAATCACTTCTACATAAATCACCTCATTTATAGACATTTTCATCTCCATTTTGCAGATTAGAAAATTGAGATACAGAGATGGTAACTAACTTGCTTAAGATCTCAGAGCATATTTGTGGAATGTGAATATATATACATGTGTACAGACACATACATATACATACATATTTGCATATATATTGTGTGTAATAACAATAGTTAACATTTATATCGAACTTACTATGTGCCAGGCACTATATTAAGCACTTTACGGTCACTATCTCATTTGATTCTTACAATAACCCTGGGAGGTAGGTGTTGTTATTATCCCCATTTTACAGATGAGGAAACTGAGGCAAACAGAGGTTAAGTGACTTGTCCAGGGTCACACAGTTAATAAATGTCTGAGGTCAGATTTGAATTCATGTCTTCCTGACTCCAGGTCCCAGTGCTGTGTCCATTACTCTACCTAGCTGCCCCAATTATATATAATATATTAATAATAAATCACACAATATTATATAATATAACATTATATATATAATTAATATAATACTATATTTAACAATTAGTATATAATATTATTCATATGCATTGTGCATATTATTAAGATACACTCTACTATTAATAATATTATGTTATATAACATTGTATGATATATTATTAATGTATATGATTGGGGCAGCTGGGTGGCATAATAGAGTGCTGAGGTTTGGGTTCAGGAAGACTTGAATTTAAATAGAATTCAAATTATATTAGATATAATATATAGTATGTTCTATATAATTATATCGTATCATATATAATATTCAATGCATTATATTTACATGCACACAGAGGAGATGGATTTAAGAGACATTAAGGAGATAGAAACATTAAGGAGAGGGGAAGAAGTCAGAGGTGACAAAAGAACCTTTATGACTCAGGTGCCAGGGACCAAAAGGAATGCCTACCTATAGGTTTTCCAGTGAGGTACGTCATGTATGCAAATGGGAATGTGGTCTGACCTGCCTTTCCCTCTTATCCAACCTATGTAATAAAGCCATCCTGTACTTGGGGTCCTACCATACGGTCTCCCCTTTCCCCTATGCCGTGACAAACCAATTCTAAAAACCAGGCCCAAAAGAATGACCTAATGCACTGACATTCATTTCCATACCTAATAGCAATCAGTGAGCCAGACACTTGCCTCCTGGAGCCAACAGGTTGCCCTGGTAACCTGCTCGCTCCAAAAGAGACTGAGTGTATAAATCTCGCTGAAACTTCCATCACCATTCTGTTACTGGCTCAAGAAATGAATCATGTAGAAATAATCTGTGCCCTCTCGTTTTTCTTGCTCATTTCTGTATTTTGAAGAGGTTATATTTCCCAAGTGGTTTTAGCCTTTGAGATGAGGCACATAAAATCAGGGAAGATAAAACTGTTATTTCCTGAAAGCTTGGATCTGTAGATTCATAATGTTCTCCATTCTCCCCTATATAGTTAGGTAGGCTGTATCTCCTGGTTATCTTGAGTTTCGGGGATAGACAAGCCTGCCTGGGTACCCTTATGTGTCCTTTTAGTGGGACCTGAGAAGATTCATCCTCAGGCTAAAGGAAGAGAGAGTATGGGGTAGTTGGACCCAGGGAAGGTTATCTTTTTTCTGTTCTAGAGTAGAGAATTCTACCTAACCTTGAAAGGAAGAACAGAGCCCACTTATATGACCATAGAATATAGAACTGATGGGGACTCTGGGAAATCATCATTCTTTAATACATAAGGAAACTGAAACCCAAAGGGATAAGTAACTGAGTTCAGTTACTCCAAATCTAGTGCTTTTCCCACTATTCCATACTGCTTATATAATGTCAAAGTTAACTATTCATTTGCATATCCATACTTAACATGTATATACTTCAGTGAACAATCAATTGCATTCTCTGGAATTTTGAGATTTTTAAATTTAAGGTCCATATAATATATTAAATGATTTCTTATCATTTCACTACTTAGGATTACAAATTGTAGAGTTTGAACAGATCTTAGAGATCATCAAGACTAGTTTTCTTCATCTTACAGATAAAGAAATGTAGGCCTGGAGGAACTGATTGACTTCATTAAGGTGACACAGTTGTATTAATATTTAAACGGCAGACCACAAGATACAGTAAGACTGTCCTTGATTAGCTAGAAATCAACTCCCATTAGGGATTTAGCTTAAAAAAAATCAGTGTTCAGATTGTATCTGGGGTAAGATGACATGTAGTTGACTAAGTTTTCTATATCTGCAGTCTTATATAGTCAAAATTTGATATCTAGAAATAGGTGCATAAAACATTCGAGCCAGAAGCCATTGCCTTAGACCATAGAGGCCATCTCATTTTACAGGTGAGGAAATTAGATAACAAAGAGGTGACATGACTACCACTACCCATGATCAGACAGGTAGTGATAGAGGCAGGACTAGTAACCGGTTTTCCTAACTCCTAATCTAGTGTTATTTCTAATATAATGATGACCCTCAGTTTCCAAAAGTGCCTTCTGTACCATCTGAGCTTCATGTGACTTCATCTTCTAATAAATAGGACTAATCTTTTAGGTTTGAATACACATTCAAAGTCTTCTGTTGAAGCAGGGAGCAGACAAATGAGAGGCAGGGTGGGGTAGGGTAGTGATAAGAGAACAGGTCTGGGAATTAGGAGACCTGGCTTCTATTTCTAACCTTGGATCATTCATTCATTCAATTGGTATTCATCAAGCACCACTTGGGTACAAGACATTGTGTTGGGTGCTCTGAAGGATACTGGGAAGTAGGATACATGATCCCTCTCCTCATGTAAATTACAATTTAGTTTTGATGGTACACAAATAATTATTATTGAAGTCAGAACTTTGTAAATGCCATATAACTGGTACAAATGAAATCAATGTGTTATTTGGGGGCAAGTCATTTCCCATACCTGTGTTCCAGTCTGCTCCTTAAAATGGGAGGGGGAAGGGCTTAGACTGGGTGACTTCTAAGATCCTGTCCATTTCTAATAATCTGTGAAGTATCCTGGATTCTCCTGTTTTCTTGTCACTCTCTCCTTTTTCTTTTAATAATAACTCACATTTCAATAACACTTTGTTTTATGAGCCTTCTTTATAATAATAGCCCTGTGAGGTAGGGAGTGCAAGTATTATTATTTCCATTTTACAGATGAGAAAACAGGCTCAGAGAGGTTATTTCACTTGGCTGAAATCACAGGTCTGGTTAGTGTTGGAACCAGATAAGGTCTCTTCTTGTTCTCATAGCCTGTGAATCTAAATTGGGGGATGAACTCAGTAGCCCATGGAGATCTCTCCCAGGCCTAGAGTTCTGTGGTTCATATTTTGATGATTTCCTTGTGACCTTGGCACCTTTATCTTTCTTACTCTTCACCTCCTAGACCGAGTAGATTTCAGAACTTTCTTCTCAAAATCTTCAAGGTCATTTTAGGCTGAGTTGGATAATGGTACATTTTCTTTTAAAGTTGTTGAGTCAATCTGGAGTAATTTGTTTACTGACAGTCAACCGACGGTTGAAGGAATATATATAATGGGCTAATGAGCTCCCATGGCAAATAGCTTCAAGGAATTCCAAACTCCTGCCAGATTCTTCAGAACCTAAATTTAAGTTTTCTAACTCCAAAAAGCTCTACTGAACCAACTTTTTTTTTTTCCCTCACTCTTGGAGAATTTAATTTTGAACTTTTCTCCATAAGGCAACTGCCATGGCTGGTTCCTGTGATTGATTCTGCGTACCATGGGAAGCTTGGTTCATAAAGTAAAAATAGAAATAGTCATTTTCTGAGGTTACTGATCTTTCCCCAGAATAATTTTTAATTTATCTTTGTCACTCACATGAATACATTTGGGCAGAGTTTGTGAGTATATGTAAAATGAGTTTTTCGTTCAAGAAAACTGTCTGTTGAAGAGAAAATAACCTATGGAGAAAAATTCAAAACATTAGCTTAAAACTTATTTTTGAGAGTTATCTAAGAATACTAATAATAATAGCAGACATTTCTAAAATACTTTTTGGAAACATTGTGCATTTCATTTACTCCTCAGAGGTAAGTGCTGTTGTTATCGCTATTCTACAGATGAAGAAGCTGAGGCTCTATCATTTACTAAGCTGAATTCTCTATTGTGATTTTTGAATAATTCATTTGATGTCTCCAACTCTTAGTTTCTTTATGTGAAATAGGGATAATAATGATACCTATACTAACATGCTAATCTATTTCATCTAGTCAGTAAGTATTTATTAATCACCCACTGTGTGCCAGTCATTGTGCTAAGTACTGGGGATACAAAAAG